AAAGAAATTATCCCTGGAAAGATTCTGCCTGTGGTGATCATCGGTAAGAAAAAACACACACACACACACACACACACACTCACACTCACACTCACACTCACACTCACACACACTCAGATGGGTGAACTTTTCCCCCACCACGACCTGTACTTGATCCTCTTTGTTCCTCCTCTCTCTTTGTTCTGCCACATCACCTCTTCGACCTCCCTCCCTTTTTATCACCTCAACAATTCTTTCCATCTGATTTTCACCTTTTCTGTGCGTGTAGTTCATCACCTTATTCTCCTCATATAACATCTCTTCTCTGCCCATAACATCTTTGCTACCTGCTAAGGATGTCATGGTAAAGTCACAGGAAGTCACGTCCTAGTCAGGTGTGTAAGACTGCAATGTTATTTCTGAGTGTGTGTGTTAGAATGACTCAAGGGTAGGATGAGGGCAGGTGTTTTTCAGCAATCTCATATGTCTTTTATAAACACACTGTCTCACACCTGCTAAAAACGAAACTCAAAACATATTGGAATGTTATTGTCATGTGGTGCCCCCCTCCTTCTGTTTCCTTGGTGATGCAGCTGGGTTCCGCTGTCTCCGTAGTGATTCATTGATTGGACGTTGAGCAAGGTGTGTGTCATTATCAGTGGAGTCCTTGCTTTTAAAACTCCCAGACGTAAGGAATGCACTCCGCTGATTCTCTGCTGTTTTTGCACACACATCTCACAGACATTTGTTATTACAGGCAGCCAAAATCTTAACTTAAATCCCGCAGATTGCCAACACTCACACTCTGACATGTGCACCTTCAGTGAAGAATCGCACATGAAGCAGACTGAGCTTAGCCTAGAAGAAAAGTCACGATAGAAGGAAGTTGATGCACGCCAGGCCTCCTGTATAAATCTGCCCATGTATGGAGACAAACACCGTGTGTGTGTGTGTGTGTGTGTGTGTGTGTGTGTGTGTGTGTGTGTGTGTGTGTGTGTGTGTGTGTGTGTGTGTGTGTGTGTGTGTGTGTGTGTGTGTGTGTTTCTGGATCTTATGATGTCTTTAATTTTCTGCCCCATTTCTCTTCACCGTGTAAGGTTTGACCTTTTTCTCAGACAGGCTTATATTCAGCTAGGGCATGTGCTATTCGGTACTGCAGTTTAAAAAAAATATAGAAAAAAAGCCAATAGTTGAATGTTCTCACTTATTCTTAAATTCTCCAAGATACAATGTACACTTTTGGTATATGTGTTTGTGTGTGTTTCACTCAGGCGGACCCACTGCTGTCAGTTGTAGGAAACCTTCTTTGTGTGTGTGGGTGTTTTTGACAGTTAAACACTGGGTGGTCTCAGCTTGAACATTGTTATAGCTCCTTTTCCACATAAAGGCGCAGATGGATTAAAAACACTGGCTAGGTTTCTCCCATATCGCTTTCTACTGCCGTCCTCCTAGTGTTTCACCTGCATTATGGATGATAAGACTATTAAGGGAGTTATTTTTGTAATCCTGACAGAAAAAATGGAAGCTATTAATCAAACATACTCCCACCAACCTCAGCAATATTTTTTCCAAGTGAAAGATTGTCTAAATGTGTCTTTCTAACTTCCTTCCTACTAAATCTGACTGACTCAGTTGAGGTTTGGCAAAAAGACCACCTCTCTGTTGAAGCTGCTTTAAATAAAAGGCTTTAGGAAGGGTGGGGGGCCTCTTGAGGGTATTCCAGAATATTTTGTGGTCCTTTTCATCCCCCAAAATCCTACTCTGCAGAACTGAAGTCGAGTTAGCCTTAGTGTTTGTCTTGGACCTAATGGATGGTTGTGTGGAAGAATGTATTTGCATGCTGTGTGTGTGAGTTGACTCCTATTCTGGGTCATTCTCCGCCAGCAGTTACGGGTTGTTTTGGTTGGGTTAGTTGTGCCAAGGGCCAATCTATGAATAGCTGCAGCTTCAGGTACATACTCAACCTCTCTTCAACCACAATGTATAACTTTGTGCCCTTCCCCTTTTCCTTCTTCTACCTACTTATTTTCCTGTTACTGATCTTTTTTCTCTTTTTTCCAAAAACTGAACGGACATAAATGCCGATCCATCTCTTTATCCCTTTTTTCTTGTGTAATTCTTGTCATATCTATTTTCTCTTGTTTCATCTCTGCACTCTTTTTCTTTCACACAGTTTTCTTCAATATTCCTCGGATTTACCCGATTTGGATCTTCTCGTTCCTCCTCCCCATGTATGCACCATTTCCCATATTATACAATTCATTTAATGATTCTCTCTCTAACCCCCAGACTACCTGAAGTTCAGCAGTGACTATAGCCATTCGGTGGTGGGTGGCACCGGCAGTTCTCGGGGGATGCGATCTGCCTCTGAGCTCCGGGACTTGATGGACACCCTGCAGCGCAAGAAGATCGCCCTGGAGAACAGCCTGAGAGCCAACGGGAACGCAAACCCCTCCTTCTTCAGCGTGACGCAGGTCAGCCATCATAAAGCTCCACTTCGGGATTTGTTATTTTGCTTTCTACGTCACCCTCCAACAGGTGTTGTTGAATCTATATGGTCACTCTGGATGTTTGTCAGGGGTTTACTCATTATCTCTAAGACCAAATATGGCTAACCGCGGTTACCCATTATCCTTGGTGATACAACAGTGTTTCACTTGCAACACGAGATGTATTCATTACTCTGGTTGCCATGACACAGCTTTAGAATAGTCATGTCAAACCAAGTTCTATTTATATAGCACATTTTTAAACGATTTTTGGTCGAGCTTTATACATTATACATGTGTCAAAGTAGTTTTAAAATGTAAATGCAATGAGGTACAGTCTTAGAACAATACACACAGATTAAAACTATTTCTGTACCATCTACCTCTGTTCTATCTGATATGAAATATAGAACACATTAGAGTATTTCAAAGTGTAATATATTTGTATACCATTCCATCTTCCAGTCTCCTCCCACCACACCTATCACGAGTCCTACCACATCCTCATCATCCTACCAGGAGCAGGCGAGGCGCTTCTATGGCTCAGAACGTTCGACCATGTCTTTGAAATCCCCTCCCCCTCTTTCCCCTGGACGAAGATCCGACCCCTCTTCTTCTCTGTCCTCACGCTCCTCGGTCAATCGTAACCAGGACAACTACGGCAGTAGCGATAGCCGACGGCTGCACAACACGGGCTCCTCGTCTTCGCTGTCCACATGGAACGGCGGAGGCTCCACCACCTCTGTTGATGCCAGCAATAACTATCTCCTGTCTCTTCCTCCACCGTCATCACGCACTCCATCAGGAGGAGGTGCAGCCAGCATGCCCTCAAGTCCCCGTCTTGGCCGCCGCAGTTATGGCACCCAAGAGCCAGTGCCCAGCAGTAGGACCAGGAAATACTCAACAGGCTCTCTTAATGGCTTGACGGGAGGAGGGCACAGTCGCTCGCTGCCACGCCTCTGCCCCACCCAGTCTCCCCGTGACAACAACAACGGAGTCCTCACCTTGTCGACGCTGCCTCCACGGCGATCCGATGGCGCTGGCGGTTATAAAGTGAACAAAGACTATTACAATAACAACCACAATGCCAGCCCGGACCTCAACCACAACTCCAGCCAGCATTCCTCCAACAGGAATCAAATCCGAAACACAACTCAGGGAGAAAGTGTTGTGTCTATCTCCCTTTCCTCCCCTAAAATCTTGCCCCCCACCACTTCCTCTATCTCTGCCACCACTGCCCCACCGGATGTGACCCTCCCATCTAAGACAGGGGGCTCCTCTTCTCCTCGTGTGGCCAAGAAAGTCAGCCTGACCTCCACCAGCTCTGTGGGCTCCATCAGCCCCACGACCTCCAACCCTCCAGAGCAGGAACGGCTGGTTAGCAATGTGGTCTCCAGCGAGAGGGAGAGGCTCACTGCTGCCCCGGGGCTTGGATTTGGAGAGAGGGGGTCTTCCTTTGGGAAGGCGGGGCTGGAGCCTTGGATGGGGCTAGGTGAGAGGAGGCAGTCGTTTGGAAAGGCAGGAGTGATCCCACCTGGAGGTTTCAGGGAACGAAGGGGGAGTATCAGCTCACTGAGCGGGAAGGAGGAGCTGACCGACTACCACCAGCACCAAAAGGAGGAGAGACTCCGCGAGCAGGAGGTGGAGAGACTGGTGAGTTTGAGTGTGTTTGCACATGTGGCTTTCTTTATAATGTTCCTCATGTTCCCCGCATCTGCCAATTCAACTTATGGAAATATTATGCAATCGGATCAAATGTCTCTGGATAGAAGTTATGATATAAGCTGTGATTCAGACCACATCTGGTGTCATTTGCAAATCAGTTGCAGACTTGCAGACTGTTCACAGGTGAGCAGTGTGTTGCTGTAAGGATTGCTGAAAGAACATAGTGTTTACATTTGAATTTGAATATAGTTTTGCATAAAGGTGCTATCACACCCTAAGTAGTACAATACATTTAGTTTAAGAAAGCATCCTCTACACCAGTGGTTCTCAACTGGTCAGGCCTCGGGACCCACTTTTTACTTGGTCAATACATCGCGACCCAACATTTTGAAGCACTCAAATCTATTCAACAAAAAAACGTGCTGTAATATATACGCTTTTCAGCATACAATATTAATACAAGTGAAGTACAGTGCACTATATCCCTTCACAGAACTAAAGTATGCTTTTAAAAAAGGTTTAATGAGATGATGGAATCAAAGCTGAACTATATAAAAAGGCACACATGCTGAAAACCCAACCCCAGCAGGGGGGTCTGGGGGGATTCTCCCCCAGGAGAGAAATACTAACATAAACTATGCATTCTGGTACACTCTGAGAAGAAAATAAATAAATCTATTACTACCCGACATATTAATAATATTTTATGCCATTGTTTGTTTTCACTTTGTTCTGACATCTTGCTGCGAGAAGAGTAAAGAGGAGATAGTCTGTGTGACTTACTTTAAATTGTGGGTAAGGGTAGATAGCTCCCATTGTTCTGTGACCTGTCAATCATCAAACCGGGGGTCATATTTCATTATGTGTTCATTTTTATCTGAAGTTGTACCCATAGATATATAAAGAAGAGTTATACCGCAAAGTTGACTTCCGGCTACAATCTTGATTCTGATTGGCCAGAAGACTCGAAAAAAAATCAGCAAAGATATTTTATTGAGAAGATGATCACTACGATGATCAGAAGTTTTCAAATCCGTTTATGGTCTCCGGTACTTCCAGTCCAACGCCGACTGCATGCACAGCGTTAGAAAATCGGGCCTTCAAAATAAAAGTTTGACTTCCCCCTCCCCCCAAAAAAAAAAAAAGAATTCCAATTTTTTTTTCTCACTCACACATCCACAACCCACTCGAAACGGGTCCGCGACCCACTTTTGGGTCAGTTAAGAACCACTGCTCTACACTATCCTCCTTGTCCCCTCAAACTCACTCTCCCAAGGTGTCACACACACACACACACACACACACACACACAANGTTTGACTTTTTCAAGAAAGAATTCCAATTTTTTTTTTTTCTTCACTCACACATCCGCGACCCACTCGAAACGGGTCCGCGACCCACTTTTGGGTCAGTTGAAAACCACTGCTCTACACTATCCTCCTTGTCCCCTCAAACTCACTCTTCCAAGGAGTGTCTACACACACACACACACACACACACACACACACACACACACACACACACACACACACACACACACACACACACACACACACACACAATGAGGTTCACCACTCAACAGATGCCTCTGGCAGTAAGCCCATACTAACAGGACTATTCTTAACCCTGTGCTTGGGGTGTGTGTGTGTGTTAGTGTATGTGTGTTGCGTGTTTATGTCAGTCATCTGGAGGTCCGCCCAGTGCGGTTCGGACCACTAAAGAGCCACAGAACACATCACTCAGATGTGGGCTAGAGAAACCATGAAGATTAGAGAGTGCAGTGGTAATGTAGCAGGTGGATAAACACACAGATGCTCAACATGTAATGACAACTGGACTCATAATCCAACATCCTCGTTCTTTTAACCTCTCTTTCACACAGCAATATTCTGATAAGTGGCCTGTGAGAAATAGTTTTCAGGATGCTGTTCAAACCGAACTGCATTTCCCAAGCATCTCAGCGGCTTTAACCTACACAATTTGCACTTTGTCCAATATCAATATCGAACACTTACTTAAACCCAACAGTTTTGCATTGGATGTGGTTTTTCCATCAAACCAATAGATTTTAGTTTTGGGTGCAATTTAAAAAAGCAGCATCCCAAAGTCTAATTTAATCTCTAAATTATTATTATTTTTAAATATATATTTGTATAATGAATCTGAAAGATAACAAACAATTAACTGTTTTTGGTAGTTCTTAAAAGATATACTGCTAGATATTGTAAAACAACTTCAAGTCTAGTGTCTGTGATTCCAAGGCTGAGCTAAGGAAAGTCTTAACTGTGTCTGCCCTCTAGTGGTGTGACAGGACACGTGCACTATTTCCATGTTGAGATGTTATTTTAATTAGCAGAATAAGTCGAGCTGCAGCAAAGATTCTTTGAATGCAAACGACCTTATTTCACCTCAAAAGCACAGCTGGTTAGAGGGGTTTCCTTACTTTTCTCTCTCTTTTCTCTTTTCTTTTACTCTCACTTTCTTGTCATTTTTTCTCCTTTTTTTCTCTACGTAGCCTTCTTGCTTCAGTGTGTCTTCCTCACCCTCTCTCTGTGTGTCTCTCTAGTTGACAGCTGATTACTATAAGGGCTCCAGAGAGGCTTGTCTATTAGAAAAGAACAAGGTGACAAACAGACACAGCATTAGCTCCTGGTTCACATAGCACTATGCATGGGGTGTGTTTGTGTGCTGTACACTGGTAAACAATTTGGAATCTGTTCATATCATTTATTTGATTTTAATAAAATACAATTTCTAAACTAATGTGATGAATGACGAGTAACATAATGTAGGCTTTGTGTAGCTCTACGACAGGGGTCTGCAACCTTTTTGACCAAAAGAGCCATTTTGCTCCTTTTTCCCCAACATTTTTTTGTCTGGAGCTGCAAAACATATTTCATAGCTTGACAGCTTATAAAGTTGTATTTATTGTTATATAAGACAAAAACTACAGGTTTTTTGCATTTATTAGGCTATTTATTACATTATATAAAACTGTTAGCCTCTAATAAGAAACAAAGGAGAATTAAAAAATAATACACAGGCCTACTTTAAAATAAATTAAACACAGCACTTGGGGAGTCCTCTGCACATTTGAAGGAAAAANATATAATTAAAATGGGCCCACTTTGAAATAAATAAAACATATAGCTGCACCCTAAAAAGAGTTAACGGTGGGGTAGGTAAGAATGGAATTTGAAAATACACAACCGGAAAAAATCTGCCTCTTCCTTCAGACTTCCTTACAGAGCCCCTCCT